CCGCAGAATAGCGAGAATCAGTCGCCGTTCTCTCGTAAGATCAAATGACGAATTTCCTAATTAGGCAGTTTCACATTAAACGAAAGTCACCTCAGAGAAATAGATTACTGGCCACTTTCGTCTCTTCCAGTTTCGACAGCAAGTGATTGATTCGATCCCCTTCTCAATGGCCGAACAGTGCCAACTCGAGGCATTTTCGTTTTCAGCCTAACCCGACTATTCATCCTTTTTTTTCGGCTAGAGACGCTGCTCGAACTTGTACCCAGCTTCGAGTCTTGACAGCTGGAAAGAGTAGATACCAATGACGAGGCCGAGTTAATAGCGGTTTCCATTTCCCCAGGAGGCAAATGAGCACGAAGAGAATCAATAAGGCATATACGAGCCTTCTGTAAATTGATTGGAAGATCCGCAGCTTCTGGTGAATGCAAAATAGCTGGGAGCAATTGAGTTCTAAAATAGCGAGGCCTAGGCTTGGAGAAGGATGTAGAGAAAACAAGATGAATGTAAAATAAAGGAAATGAAAAAAAAGGAAAAGTAATGAATTAAGCAAGATCGATGCTGCAAAATAGTAGTAAATGTATATATATGTTATAAATGTGTTATATTACTCGCATAATGTAGGAAAGTAACCTTCTACAAGCTAATAAAGAAACATGTTTGTCAGATTATAATTTTAACATTGAGATGTTTAGATCATTTATCATACCTTTTATAGAGAAAATGGCCTATTCTCAAGATACGGCTTCTACAAGATAATGTGCTCCTGTGGTCGACATTATATTGGAGAGACATGTCAGTCTATTTGAGAAAGATTGGGGGAACAGAAAAATGCTCGTAAAAGAAGCTGGTTACAACGGTCAGAAGTGACCGAACGAATGATAGAGATTTGATATAAGATAAAATGGTCTCAAGCATGTAGGTTTGTTGATTATGATGCGTCTCTTGTTAAAAGGAAGATACGAGAGGCTAGTTAAATTAATGGATTAGGTAAAAGTTAAATCTGAAGAATGGTGGCAGAAAGTTGAGTAAGACCTAATTATGCTTGACTGATAAATTGAAACAGAGAGGTGTTGAGCCGCCATGCAAAAGAAGGCGATTCAACTTGTCCGCTCAGTGATGGTTCTAACTTCCCT